AAAAATTAGCCGGGCATGGTGGCGCATGCCTGTAGTCCCAGCTACTCGGGAGGCTGAGGCAGAAGGATTGCTTGAGCCCAGCAGTTTGCGGTTGCTGTGAGCTAGGCTGACACCATAGCACTCACTCTAGCCCGGGCAACAGAGTGAGACTCTGTCTCAAAAAAAATACATAGAAAAAATTAGCCGGGCATGGTGGCGCATGCCTGTAGTCCCAGCTACTCGGGAGGCTGAGGCAGAAGGATTGCTTCAGCCCAGCAGTTTGCGGTTGCTGTGAGCTAGGCTGACACCTAGCACTCACTCTAGCCCGGGCAACAGAGTGAGACTCTGTCTCAAAAAAAAATAAATAAATAAAAATTAGTTTCTCCCTAGCAGGGTCCTGGCCCAGTCTGGTGAGAGAGTGGGGAGGGACTGGTATGAGTTTTGGAACCCACCGGTTGGGAGAGGCTGGCTGGGGTAGAGGTCCCCTGGTGGCAGGCCTGCAGAGGGTGGGGGGCCCAGAAAAGCCTGTGCAGAAGCTCAGAAAATAAATTCACCTACTTCTGTTCTGCTCAGAGCTGCCCTAAATTTTTAATTGAAGCAAATTAAAACTTCCCAAAAATATTAGTCCACTTTCTTGGCAATGTGGACGCCCTCTTCCTGGTCAGTGATTTTGCACCCTCTGCGAGCAGAAGCCAGTGCTGGTCCTGAGGAAGGCCTTCCTAGCCTCTGGTCAGAAGCTCTTACCCTTCACCACCAGACCCATTTGCAAGCACTTCCCCAGGAGCAGGCACGAGTGATTCGCAAAGAAGTGTGAGGCCAGGGAAGCTGAAAGAGGAGCTACTTACGTCTCTCTGTGCTTAACATTGTTTTCTTTAATAAAACAATGGAGTCCTCTGCAGCCTTTGTGCAAAGGTGTCTTTCTTCGGTGGCCTAGAAGACAGAGGTGCTGGTGTCCTGCAGGTTGAGTGGTGTGGTTGAGGGTGAGGCCATTACTGCTCCTGGAGGCATCCACCCTTTCACTCCGGTGGCCCAGACGCAGTGCGTGTGAAGGTGACTGCTTTGCCACCGACGCTCAGCACAGGTGTCAGTCAAGTACTCGCCTTACACACACCCTGGACTGCTCCCAGAGATCGATTCCTCCATTCAGTCTGGCTTTTCCCTCCAGCAAGTGCATATTGATTACCCGGCCTCTGTCTGGCCTTGGCCTTGCGGGCATGAAGGACAAGCAGAGGCCTCCCAGCTCCTGGAAAGCAATGGAGAGAAAGGATTTGCTCACCCGAAACCAACCTCACAACACTGCTACATTCGCTGTAGAAAGCAAGTGGGAGAGGCTAGAATATAAACTCATGTTTGCTTGTATTTGTACAAATAAATCCCAAGGGATAAACAAGGCGGTGGTGGAGGATGAAGGTGAGAACGAAGCAGAAAGGATACGGTGGTGGTATTGAGGGATTTTGTTTTTTTTACTTTTCATTTAGAAACATTAAAAACCCTCTGAATATATTATAGATTCAAGAATTATATTTAAAAATTCACACGAGGCCCTGTGGGGGTCTGTAGCCGAGCTGAGCAGTAGAAACACGGTGCCTAGAACTTCAGAAGGGGGATAGGCCAGCTCCACGGACCATCTTCCTCCGTCTCGAAAGGAGAGGGTCCGTCTTTGCTGATGAGTCATTTCAGGGGCAAGGAGGGATGACATCCCACCTCCACTTTGTCAAGACGCTGCGGTAGCTTCCGGGAAGACCCTGTCCAGATTGCTTAGCTGCAGGTGGAAACGGAGCCACGGTCGTGTGTGTGGTGCTTTGCCTGTCCCTAAGCGCGCGGTATTTCACGTCCCCCAGGCAAGGGCCGGTGTGGTGTGGCTGCGGTATAGGAAAGGCACAGTGGATTTCGATCTGAAAGAACCAGGTTTGTGCCTTAGTTTTGTTGCTCACTGTTTGCCCACAGGCAAACAGCCTCTCCTCGTTCCCTCATCTACGGTGTGGGCATGGGACTAATCAATAACTCACCCAGTTCTCAGGATTGGGTGGCATCACGCATGTGGAAGTGCTATGTGAGCCAGAGAGCGCTAAGTCCGTGCTGCTTTAGAACCCCGTCTCTTAGCTGTTGCAGGCTGCTTTGCTGCTGGGCGTGCTCTTTGTAATCAGAGAGGGAAAGCCTGCATCGTACTGCCCACGTGTCACACGTGGACACCTCCCCAGTGCGCTTCGGAGGGAACCTCACATACTTCTGGGGCTAGGAGCCAGCCGTGGCATGTTCGTTTGGGGCCCATGCATTGTCATTGGATAGTTCTGGACTCGGACTTCTCCGTCCTGCACAGAAACATTCTTCAGTTTATTAGTTACTATAATTACTTGTGCACTTGCCTTCACTGCCACAGACATTTACTGAGCTCTTGAAATGTGCCCGGCTCTCTGTGAGAAGGTGGGCGCAGGGACACGAGGATGAGTCAGACAAATGCCTGCTTTCAGGGAGCTTCCAGTCCAGGGACGGGGTGGGGACGGGCGCTTGGAGCTGGTCTTGAAGGGCTGTAATAACGGCCGTTTCTGCTTCGTGCCGATCTTTGCTCTAATCATTTCGTTCACATTCTCTCACTCAGTCTGGCCTCCCTAAAGGAAAAGCACGATCGCCATTTGACAGGTGAGGAAGCTGGGGCTCAGGTTAAGTACAGGGATTCTCACCGAGGGGATGCCAGGTGTCAAACTCAGGCCCTCTGTCTGCAGAACTTGTGCTCTTCCCCCTAAACCGTATCGCCTCTTAGGCCTTCTAGAACACCCATCTGGTTCACCCTCTAGTCCCTTTATATCTGTCCCTTTGTGGCACCAACTTCCAGGGATACCACATCCTTCCAGAGAAACACCAACCAGGTCATGCAAATATCTGGACAGAACTTTCTTTCCTGCTGCAGGGCCTTTCCTGGGCTCTTCCTTCTGCCTGGAATGTCCTCCCTTCCCCGACTTCCACAGCCTACCCTTCACGGCAGGGCTCATTCTGTTGTATCCTTCAGGTCTTTGCTTAATGTCACCTCTTTACCGAGGATGTCTCTAACCCTGCCTCCTGAATGTTCTCTGTAACCGGGCTCTCCCTTCATGACATTTGCCACGTTTCATAATAAATTATGTATTTGCTTATTTTTTGTCTGTAAGACGCCCAAGGGCAGGCATGATGCCAGTTTATTTTCACCAATGTACACCCTATACCTTGCATGGAGTGTAGGGTGAGTGTGTGAGTCTCAGTTTACACATTTGGTGCATGAAATGTTACTTCGCAACATTTGCAAAACAGCCTAACTTTTCTTTCAAGGCACCATGCCATGGGGTAGGCAGGACTCACTGACCTCACTCTCTCTGCCCTCTGCAACTTGGAGAACCTCCTGCTTTGCTGATGGGGAGGGCAAAGGGTCCTCTACCCCCTTCCAGCTTCTGGCCAAGATACTGTGCCCCTTTTGCTAACCCTCTTCCTCTTTCTTCC